GGCTGGTGCTAGCCGGTGGTAGCTTATGTTCTACGAGAGCTATTTGCTCACTTAATTGATGCCTGGCTTACATTTTATAAAGCAGATGTTGATAAAATGTAGTGGTCTACTCTCAGTTTGGCTAGCTCAAGATTTTCATGGTCATGATATATTGAATTTTTGTCCAGAAACTAAGCATTGGCCAGGCTTTCATGTTACATATTGGAAAGCTTTCAACAAGATTTCTGGAAAAAGTTGTAGGAGGTTGAATTTTGAGCTTTAACATGGAAACAGATGGCAAATGAATTACTGGAGAGGGTCCACATGATCTGACTCCATCGATATAAGCACTGCCTAAAATAGCCCTATACCAGTTTACCTCGGGAACCGCTGTAGAATCAATTACAGTAGCAACAGCTGGAGTAATAAGCTAAACCGTGTGTGTAGGTGGACTAACTCGACCCTTGAGCACCTGCTGAGATTTTGCAATATTCGTTTGCCTGGAACCTACGGTGCCTTGGAAGCTTGGTGACATTGAAACCATTGTAGAACCAGTTACAGGTTGAGGTCTATGGTGTAGTTCATTTCATTGCTCTTCAGCAAGGTGTTTATGGCTTGACTCGATCCTTGAACACTGGAAAGGTTTGCTCTTTACTAGATTGCCTTGGAAAATTAGAATAACCCTATACTACCCTTTTCCTGCCTTGGAAACCTAGGGACACGGGAACCCACCGTTGTAGAACCAATTACAGGTTTAACGGTCGTGTAATAAGCTCTATGGTGTAATAAATGATATAAGAGGTATTACACGTAATCGGAAGATTGTTAGGCAATAATAGATTGACTGTAAATTGCCTCATAAACACAACACACTTAATACCGCCAATTTTTCACACGGAAATTACATGGATTACCCCCTCTAATGATTTCACTAACGACTTCATCTAAAAGACATATTGGATAATCGAGTCTTGTGTTTTACTATCAATTACTATAAAATTGCATATTGGATGACCGAGTCGATTATTTTACAATCCTCTGTCATATAATCTGATTTTATTTCCCCAGAAAAGATTTTGGGTAACGTGAGGTTGTCCACTTCGGTGATGTACGAAAACGACGAAACTTAATTATCTTTTTAAGATTTAATTGTTGGCCCCAAAGATGGCAGCACACCTCCATGCAAAATGTGTATTATTTAACAAGCAGAACACATTCTACATTCGATGTAGGTGTGCAATTCTGCAAATGATGGCGACATTCATGATGATGATGATGGCGATAATGATGTTTTGTTCTTCAATTTATTCCTGTATAATGATAAAGATAAAGGTAATGATGTTGCTTACTGATAATTATGATGACAATGTAATGATGCTACTGATATAACAGGTGATTACGATGATACGATGAAGATGATGCTCGAGGTGATTATATTGATTTTGATGAAGATGATGCTCCAGATGATTATATTGATTTTGATGAAGATGATGCTCCAGATGATTATACTGATTTGATGAAGATGATGCTCCAGATGATTATACTGATTTTGATGAAGATGATGCTCCAGATGATTATACTGATTTTGATGAAGATGATGCTCCAGATGATTATACTGAATTTGATGAAGATGATGCCGCTGTTGCTTCTGCTTCTGATGATGATGAAGATAATGATAATGATGATGATGATGCTAATATAAACCTTCGGCAATGATATTCATCTGTGATTTTTGCCTTGCATTATGACCTTGCTCTAATTCAATGGTTCCAAACCTATTCAGTCTTCACGCTCCAGGAGCAATCAAGTGGACCTTTAACACCCCAAAAATTTGTTTCATCCACATTTCTAGCATGTGATGATGTGGGGTCCTCTCTCAAATCAAAATAAATTCTTCTCCTGCACCACATCACACCTCTAACACCCTAGTCCCACACCCCTAGGGGGTGAAAACACCCCATGTTGGGAACCGAGGCTCTTATTTAAATGACCTTTTTTAAGCCACGCTCAATAAACTTGGCACCAGTAAAATATCTGATTGTTTGATATCTCATACTGCCGAATGGAGCCAATAGGAAGGATTTATAATGTATAGTGTTTATTATTTGAAGAATCATTGTGTTTCTGTAAGAGTCAAGATGTTCCGATAATGTGCAAGATAAATACAAGCAAGATGGTTATGTTTATTTATTCACTGTTAGTGAAATGGTGAATTAATGAGTTCAGTTTGAGGTGAAAATTTAGGAGGTACGGGTTCGAGTTGATGTGGATTCGCTTCGCTTCTTCTTTTTCAGGGGTTTTCAACCTGGGTGGGAATTACTTGGAGGTAAATGAAGCTTTCTAGCAAACAATTTTTGGACTTTAAATTTATGTCGTCCTTTTCAGTCAGGCCATTTTCTCTGACATGCAAAATATTGCGTGGAAACCTTATACAAAATCACGAAATATTAAGGACTTTTAGCGAAAACGAGGGTTATCGATCGTTTCCCTAAAAGGGGTAATAGTAAGAAAAAGGTTATAAACTATTTACTACTGTTTAAATGGTCAGCCACCGTACACTGCACCAGCCACTGCTCCTTAAATTACACCGTACACCGCACCAGACACCGCACCGTAAATTACATCGTCCAACAAATCGTTCACCGCACGAACCATTACAGAATCAACGAATGTCCACTTTAAAATTTGTTGTACTCATACGGCATGGAATCTCTCTCATGATTATTGAAATTTGAAATTACCACAATCCATAACCAGACAACGTCGGCGGTAAGGACAATAGTGCATTTAGTTCAGTTACCGATAATCTCTGTGGTGTAGCTCGACCTTGAGTGTTATATTTCACCAGTCTGAGTGTTTATTTATGATTATAATAACAATTGTAGAGAACTCAGGAGAGTGTTATTACTTGATACCGTGCAACAGAATCAAAATAAACCTTGCACTATAGAGTAGACTAGATGTTTTTACCGTTACCGTTACAAATTGAAGACGTTAAAGCGACAGAGTCAGGTTGAATATTTCAGATGTCTGTACAGTGTGCTGACGATAACATAAGAAAGGGGCTAAAATAGCATGGTTGTGTGGTTTGTTTGACGACAGTTTGATTCGATACTCATAGATCATATTCCAATATGTGCAATGAAGGAGGAGGTTGTTATCGACGAACGGAAGTTAAACCAGTAGAGTGAGATCGTCTATTTTTAGAGCGACTGTTTGGCTCAGATTTAGTAAAATGCCGATATGTACATTAAGTTGAAGAGAGCTCGTTACCGAGAACACATGGAAGGAGCTAAAATGGCACGGTAAGAAGACATCTTTAACGTGCACAGCCTGTAGCACACGGGTCCTTGGTTTATTCTCTCATCCGAACTAACTCGAAGCTTTTCCATGCCAGCCCCTCTTACCTGCATCACTGAAAGGGGGAAACCGGTTTGAAATATTCGAAGGTATCATCTCGACCTATGCCGGGATTGAACCCTGGACCCTAAGGTTAGCGAGCAAGCGTCTAACTCACCGAGCCACAGCGGCTTCCAATTGGAAATGGAAGGGTTAGGGTTTAACAAAGACTTTACATTTCAAGGTATGATTCAAAGCTCACGAAAGCCCGGAGATGCAAGATTGAAGACCATCATTGGTGACAGAAATTAAAAAAACCAAGAAGTCAAGAATGTTAATTTAACACGTTAATGAGTTCTTAAGGGAGATAACTATTTGTAAATTTGATTTTTCAATGTAAAAAGTATGTCAGTTATAAGCAAGAAACTAACAGTTGTTGATTGCTTGTATCATGGGAAAGGTTAGAGAAACGCAATTAGTAGGTTTTTTTTAATGAACATAGCTTATTATGTTTTCGAGGAGGGGAAGGTCTGATTCTCCCAATCCAATTGTACAGGCCTAGGATATAACAAATAAACCAAGTACTAACGATCCGAATCGGAAAACGAAACCTGAAGTCCAAAACAACATTTTGCCGAAACACTGGTAGCAGCTAATGAACAAATACTTCATTTGAGAAATTGGAATAAGCGGCCTGGCTTGTCAGCTCGGAAACCCTTTCATAGAATCTACACAATATTTATATTCGAGTGGCTTATACTCTTCGAGAATTATCTGGCAGTTGCCAGGAATTAAAGAAAGAATTATTTTCATTACTGATCGACTTTCTATCACCAGCAGATCAAAGAGATGGGAATGTCTTTATAAACCTAAAGATTAGGTGAACAGGAAGTTGTAAGGGATGTCGGTTAATATTGTCGCCATTAGTACTCTCTTCACTTTCCTTGTTTGAAGGGGGAGGGGGGAGGGGGGGGGCTTGCATCTTCACATTGTGAAACTACCACGATCTTCACAATGTCAAGCTAACACGATCTTCACAATGTCAAGCTACTACCATCTTCACAATGTCAAGCTACCACCATCTTCACAATGTCAAGCTACCACCATCTTCACAATGTCAAGCTACCATTATCTTCACATTGTCAAGCTACCATCATCTTCACATTGTCAAGCTACCATCATCTTCACGTTGTCAAGCTACCACCATCTTCACATTTCCAAGCTACCATCATCTTCACATTGTCAAGCTACCACCATCATCTTCACATTGTCAAGCTACCACCATCTTCACATTGTCAAACTACCACCATCTTCACGTTGTCAAGCTACCGCCATCTTCACATTGTCAAGCTACCATCATCTTCACATTGTCAAGCCACCATCATCTTCACATTTCCAAGCTACCACCAACTTCACAATGCCAAGCTGCTACGAACTTCGTCTTATACTTAAATCCGAAGGTGTGTCGTATCTGCTATCTCTATCCATGCCGGGGACCATTCCAATTCCAACAGATAAGGGACCAGGCCTATTCGTTTCCTTCATTTTTTCAAAGTTAAGTTAGATATTACGAACTTCGTCTTATGCCTTGACTGCAAAAGTCAGGTTTCTTGTATCATCGGAAGTCAGCGATTTGGTGGTATTTTACAGTTTCAAATACAGCAAATCAGAGCATTCGACAGAAAAATTGTAAACATTTTGGCTAATTGTCTATAGATTTTCTGTCGAAGGCTCTGATTGGATGTATCACTTAAGTTACTGTAAATGGCATGGACGACTCGCCTTGTTCAAGACTCTACCATAATGTAGAACGACGAAGGACTGGATAATCAAAAATGATCCGTACAGTTTTTTCTATTATAGAACAATTTTCGTGTACCCTTATTTTCAAAAAGAGGATAAAAGTTGAAAAAGGCGTTCTGGTACCCAAGACAATTTTAAAACCAAATTCACTTCCAAAAATGGGAACCATGGCTTTTATTTATATACTGGAGTCTGACCTACTTCCCATGTTGCAGAACGAATATAGATGAGAATAACAAGAATATTATGTCTGGTTTTAACGGAAGTTTCTTGTTTAAATTTCAACTTTTATAGTTTACAAAAGATCTTTTTTGAATAAAATAAAATCGATATGATTGAATATAGTGTTCTATTTTTGAGTTTATGTGCAGGAAAACTTTCATGGTTTCTTATAGTTGATACGTTAATATGTCAGATCAAACCGAACGGGCGTCGAGAAGGTAGCGGCATACCATTGGCGATTTCACTAAATGGAGAGAGGGGTGCTGGCCTGGGTTTCCTCCATCCTCCCCCAACCACACACACACTAAAGTTTTACACTTGGAACTGTCCGTGGACCCCTTTAACAATATTGGGGCCCCTTAACTACCTCCTACTTAATGATTCATAAACACGCCACTGGGACTTACATCATGAGTCTTGCCCTCCCTCCCATTGCTGGTCTATTTCAACAGTGTTATATAAAAAAATATTTGAATACACGTACCTTTGTGGTCAGAGTAGCGCTGTGTAAAATATCCCCTGGCCAGAAGAGCTGAGACGCAACAGTAACAGCCGTTAGACTTAAACTTACGTTACCACCTGCGTCAAACGTCGTATCGAGATTATGTTCGTCGTGGAAGACATATTTACGGACGGCGTTATGTAAAAGAGCCAATATGATAGAGAATCCACCAAAACCAAGCAACATCAACAGAGCTGTTTCATGTTTATCTAAAACTGGTTTCACTCTGAAAATAACAAAGAAATAGAATAAAAAATATGGGCAAAGAGAAGAATAGATTTTGGATCTAGGGTGGGAATGGGGAGGGGAGATTCGGGCGGAGGGGGGAGGAGGGGAGATAGGGGGAGATGTAGGGGGAGTAGGGTTAGGGAATGCGATGAAACACCAAGTTTATACCACTGATGCTCAAAGATGTTCTGTCAGGACCAAATTTATATTTTTCGTTCTTTTCATTTATTCTATTATATTTAGTCCTAAACTAGCCACCGTAACGTTATCTTCATGTCTCACAAATTCCAAATCTTGAGAATTGCTAATTAGTTTTTATGCCCTAAATGAGTAACCGTATTGTTATCACTTTTTTCCGATGCTAAATCTAACAAAATTGCCAAATCTTGAGGAATACTGATTAGATTTCCTAAACGAGCCACCGTATCAATGACACTTTTTGTCCATGCTAAATATTCATCTCTGACAAAATTTCCAAATCTTAAGAATATACTGATTAGTTTTTACTGATATATGAATGATGGACTTCCTTTCGGTATATTTTTTCTAAAAGAAACTGGATCTAATTTGGTCTCGAACTTGGCGAGTATGATCTAATTAGGCGATAAGAATGAAGTCACAGGAGAATAGATTACTAGGTCGTATCTGGCCAATTAACCATCTTATTTCAGAATTAACTGCGTTATTGAAAATAATATTGGCATGCCGCGAATCATACACGCTTTCAGATGCGTTCGATGTATTCATCTGAACAATGCCGAGCACTGATTCAATAAACGCTGACAATACTGTGGAAATCTTGGTTTCATTTTAATATCATTCTCAAGTAGTATCAAAAGAAACATCTGATTTCTGCAAATTTCCATAGAGAACATGCGATTCTGTTCACTAATTTTGCATGTACAGTCGGAAAAGTTCATGAACCGCACATGTTCAGGAACAACGGTAAAGTTGTATACTAGTAGAACGTAAAACGTGTATATGAAACGAGTATATCAAAACCTTACGTTTCAAGATACTCCGACAGCCGACAAAATTTAATTTAAAAAAATGCATTACTAGAATCGTTATCTGGAATTTGGAACGGTTCCTGGAAATGACTGCAATATAACTGAAGTCTTTGATGGAATAGCAATAACCGCGAGGCTTGTAGAGATAGTGGGTTGAAATAGAATAATTACGAGCTAATTTGAAATATGAATTTGTAAATAATTGCAGTTATGATTGGATGCGCCGTCCGGGATGTCCAACTATAGGAATATTAAGTCTTATTTAAGCATTTCTAATGACGGCTGGAAAGGGTTAAATTGAGCGGGTATTTATCTCCGAGATGATATCTATGTTATTTAAAAGACCAGATTCATTTTATCTACCGATAGCAGATTGTCGCTTCAGGCACGTGCCTGTCTACCAATAGAAGTGGCGGGAAATCGATGGACAGACGTCAATGATATTGGCGGGAAAACTATAGAAATGAAAGAAGCAGAAGTGGGAATTCAATAATTGGTAGACTAATATTAACAGGATATGATGACAAATGACTCATAACACCAGATTTGTACTTAGAGCCTTTAGGATATAATTTAACCCTTTAGTTGTCGCAAATATCCCGAAGCTCCGTACAAATTCACTAAAGTTTTCTTGTTCTTACTTAAGTTTTATGTTCCGAAATCTATGAAACCTGTGAAAAATAACAGACACAAAGGTAGTTCACAACCATTTTGAATCATGCACTTCCTCGAATCTCATTTAAAGCCATTTCTGAAACTTTAAATGTGACTTGAAGGCTTAGTTGAAATATTAATATATTACAGCCTTTTCAAAATTTCGACTTATTTAGTCGAGTTGATGATTCAAAATGGTTGTTGACTACGTTCGTGTTTGTTATTTCTAGGTAAAAACCAGACAATTACCCCGTTTGGATACGTTCAATGATTGAAAAAAGAAAAACTATCTTGGAAAACAAGTTGGCACCAATGCAGTTTTGTAACCAGAGAATGAACCAATATGGCGACCAAACATTATTAAAAGCCTCTATGTACATAAGATAGATCTTCTAAATTATTTTTTTCTAAGAACTTTTTAATAATCTGAAGATACGATAGAAATCTTCAAAGATTTGGTCAATTTTACGGAATATTAAAAACTTGTGATTAGAAATCTTTCATTGTAAATAATTCGTGATGCCCCGGGGCTTGGAACGTGGTCTACATCTCAAGACTGTTAGTACAGAGAATGGAAAAGCATTGGTTAACCTACTTGTTATTGTAATAATTTACTAAACATTCCTCTGGGCGAGTAATAAAATTTCAAAGACAAAAATTATATAAAAAAAAGTATATTATAGAAGAAAAGAAAAAATAGAAAAACCTAAAGGCGTTAATACACCAGTTCCCATTCACTACGAAACGACAAAAAAATGAAAACAACAAAAATTGCACAAGCTATACATACTGGGTACGGTGCGACACGTCACGGCATAGCGTGCTCCGATCTAATCAAAAATGAATTACAATTTCGTTTTTTCTTTGTTTTCTGATTTTTTTTCCAGTCTGTATTGTAATCTAACAAGTTTACTACCAAATGTCTGTCCTAATGGTTTTATTTTCAACCAACGTAAGAAATTATGGGATAGAGGCTTTGATTGGTTTAAAATACTACTTTTGGGACATAAGTGTGGTAGAAATCTATGTAGATTACAGCGTAGAGTAAAAATATCAGAAAACAAAAGAGGTACTAAATTAAATTGACCGTACTCCAACACGATAAAGCGGAAAAGAAAAAACTCTTATCAATCATAAATTTTATGTTATCACTTTTGACGTACATATACTGCAGCAATATTTTATAGTCGTTTTAGTCAAATAGATGCGGCGGTTGTCGCGCGAGAAGACCATACCTACTCTTTTCGAAACACCTGATGGAACTCTTTTTGTCATGCTTTGGACGAGAATTTTGGTTTTTGAATGGTTTTACTTGCACGGATTGTTATATTCCATATCATTTAATTTACGAGCTGGAATAATTGCAAACAAAATTGCATAGTTTTTTCTAACTTAGCAAAAAAATTATTACATACCCGGAAGTTCCTTCTGAAGGCTTTAATTTCACGGGACATGACTCTGTATCATTGGAACCGGAAGTACCCCAAACACACCACAGTAAGATCGAAATCCAGAGGTAGCACTTCATTCTGATATCCATACTTTAAGTCTGAAGATAATTAAATCCGTCTAGCCACAATCTGGATCAATGGCGTACACATAACATCCTTTGGGTGGACTAAATCCAGATTCACCTAATCCTTATCCTGAAGATTCCGAGTCACAATTTTTCAACCATACGTTGGATCTTCAGGATTCTGACATAATTATCTTCTAAGCTCCTGAAAAATAACAAAACAAATTAAGATACATAAATCCTAAATTTTCATCAAAGGTCACACCCGATTGCCGACAAATACGAGTAAAAATCAAACCATTACCAACGATTCGAAACGCAAAAACGAAACCCGAAATCTAAAGACCATATTGGTGAAACACTAGTTGTAGCTTATATACTTTTCATACGATGAAGTGTATCATTATCAATCATAAGAACAATATTAATTGTGTGGACTCAGTTGATAAATCTAGTAGCAGAAGATCATTAGATATATCAGAAGAATGAGTGTGCATGAAAGCATAAATAATCTAACAATAAATTGTAATTTATCAGTGGGTGGTTCAGTAGGTTCGACGCGTGTCTCTGGACCTGAAGGTCCGGGGCTCAATTAAGGTATAGACTGAGACAATAACCTCGGAGCCCGATTTCCCGATTGATAAGTTTGATATCTCTCGACAGTCTGAAATCGAGTAGGCTTATGGAATTATCCTGAAAAATTTTCCTCATTGCACACATTCTCTCCCGTCGTGCAGTCGCACCTTTCCATAGTTCTAGCTCAAGGCTTCCTAAACTTGCAACCAGAGCCATGAAAGTCCGGCATTTAACCTGATGAATCCTTTTTAAAGACAGAAATAAGAAACTTACACGACAGGGTCATCAACCAAATAAATAGGGCGATATGAAATACTTGTTCTACATGTAACATTAAACATTGAAAATATTCACTATAAAGTTATCTCATCTATGTTTTTTAAGACTGATAAGCTAACATATCAAATGTTATTATAAACGCTTTTAACTCGGATTTGAATTTTAAAAAGTCAGATAAGTGCATATTCTTTTGGGCTCTTTTTTAAATATTAATGAACATTCTTTTTAGCTCCTTTTTTAAATATTAATGCACAAAAGACTTTTCTTGTTTCGTATTCATGGTTTAGTTTTTTAAAGATAAAAAAAGTTTCTGGATGAATGAATGAATAAATGAATGAATGAATGAATGAATGAATGAAAGATGAATAAATGAATTAAATCGCTATTGCTAGAGGTACATCTTTTCTTGGCCAAAAATGCTGAACAGGAATTATTCAGACGCAAAATTCCATTCATGGCAGAGAATAGTAGAGCGTAAACACCATTTAAAATCATTTCTAAGGTCTCGATCTCCAAGATGAAATGATCCAACACCATTCAACTTATTTTATCTGCCTTGTTAAATTGTTTGAAGGAGGAAAAATCAAGAAAAAATGTTTAATATTGTTTTAACTGATGATAGTAACGCCACGACTGTTGCTGGGTGAAAATCAACTATTTAGATATCTAAATCATTTTAACACACTTTCTTATGAATCGAATCTTTGTTTTTACTACAGAGAAGAGAGTAGTAAAGAAAGATAGAAAGAACCTTTTCCATATTGAAAGCAGTTTAGGTTAAAGTGGCAGAATCGCCATTTTCGGGAGTTGAAAATTATTTAATAAATGTAAATATAAACGGCTAATTCAGGACACTCTTGGGATTTGAATGCTCAAATTTCGACAGTGAGCTGTGAACACAAAAATTCCTGATTCCGAGACTAAGATACTATTGGTCAAACAGATGGCGAACCTTTCCTTTAAAGGGCATCCTTTCTACCAGCTGGCCTTTGCCCTAACTACATGGCAGTGACATTTAGCTGATTATCAATTTTTCATAATAATGAGGGGTGGAGAACATCGAACTTTCACGGGAGATTAGAACCATGTAAATGACGCTTTGTTAAGATTCCGTCATTAGCAGAAACTGTGTCTGAAAAGTAGGATGTAAAATTCCATTCCGTTTCTTACTTATTCCTTTGTATGGTAAAATGGCTTTATCACATCAGAGGTTGAAGTTACTACCTTGTTAGTTGCTGTTAATTTCATTATTTGATCGGTTTCGTGATTAAAACGGTTTAATTCCGTGTTGTTTGATGAAGTTTTTGTGTCGTCTTGAAGAAATTAAATTGTATTAGACATGCAAACCAGACATCCCAATGGCGGCCCAGAATTAACAATACAGACTTCTTCTTTTATTGGAATTTAAAAACATCAGTTTAAAGTATTCAAATTGCGGAAATACAAAAGGAAATTGGCCCAATTTTAAAGGACGACTGTCCACAATTTCAGCACGTAAAAAATTTAAAATATGTTTTACTCTTTTGAAACAACAACCTAACAACGTTCTATTTTTAATTTCATACTGTCGAGGGATCTTTAACGTGCACAGCCTGTAGCACATGGGACCTTGGTTTATTGTCCCATCCAAACGATAAGACACTTTTTCATTTCAGTCCCTCTTACCTGCATCACTGACAGTGGGAAAAATAAGCGGGGATTATCTCGACTTATTCCAGGATCGAACCTAGACCTTCAGATTAGCGTAGCGAGCACCTCACCTCACCGAACAGCACTATACTACAGGTTCTGGTTGAACTAAGTCACGTGCAACCACTCCCCAAAAAATGTAGGAGAGAATAATTTTTTTGATAAAAACAATATCCCGGGGAAGGGCCACACTCATCTTGTTGAACCAACGTCACTTGGCGCCAAATTTAGGATAATCAATGAGAATATTGCTGCAGACGGCCAATGTCAGCTGGTTATTATATTAGTCTGTTAGTCGAATATTAGATTAATATACTAGTGATATGATGTCTGACATATTTATATATACCCCACAAATAGACTGTTCATTAACCAAAAAATCAGAGTTCTGATTAAAGGTGAGAATAAAATAGTGCGTGTGTCGTCCGAAACATCTGTATCTATATAGTCTTCTGATAGTTATTTTGCATTGTCGGTAGGGGTAGGGTCAGAAAACGTTTATTTGGGATTTTTGGGATTTTTTGACAACGGGATTGGCGCCATTGGCGGAGCCAAGGGGGGGGGGGGGGGGGACAGTCCCCCCCCCCCCCTCGCAGCCCCGAAAGCAAGTTTTTCAGGCAAAAATCTCATAACTAGGTTAGAGATTCGAGCAATCTCAGATATCCCCCCCCCCCCTGGCATGAAAACCTGGCTCCGCCACTGTTAGGCGTGGTACGTTTTCTTAAATTGCAGGAAAACCGGATGCTAAATTCTAATTCCGAAAGGTGATATGGGTAGCTGGAATTGGAATATGAAAACATTCATTTAGAATGTCAATTACTGTATCAGTATATGTAATGACATTTTCAAAATGTCAAGGTACAAAATTTATGACGAAATCAAACTTGATATCATAAGACAATTTTCGGGCATCACCTCGACATAAATACTGTTAACATTATTGCTTTCTGTAGAAGATTTTGGTTGGTTGTATTCGCGAGCTTACAATCCAATCAAACTGCTGCTTTAACAAAATTGCGTGATACAAGAAAAGTACCTAATAATATCAAGGTATTAGACGGAGTAATACCTTGACATTGTGAAGATGATCTATCTTTACTCAAGCTGTTAGACACAGGTGTTTTTTAGTAATTTAAAGTATATCATATTATATTACAATTGCTCTATCTATATATCTAATAACTGTCAAGATTTAACAAGTGGTTGGAACAACTCCTACTTCTCCTACTTAATTTCATACTCTGTCTGCTGGCTTAAAGTAGAATCTCCCACCGTTATGTTATTCTGACACTTTATTCCGGCTTAAAGGGACAGTCTGAGTCTTACGTTGGTTAGGAAAGTTAGGTGCTTGAATTAATGAACAAAATCTAGAGAAATGGGTCCCTTTATCTAAAAGTTTGAACTAAAAATATCACACTGTTACGTTTTAGAACGCAAAAAATGTTTAAAAGGTTTACGTAAACTTTTTAATGTCGCTGTGTATTCGGTTGGTGCTGGAGAACTAATGGTAGTATTCAAGCAATTTAAGCGCCCATTTTTAAAGAAATATGTCTCATAAAGTTTTATCTAAAAATATCGAGTCGTTTTAGCTGCTTAATAAACATTTAGTACACTCTGTTTTTAATTAACCCTTTTAAACAAACCCAGGTTGATAGCTAGATATAAATAGCATATTTTAGAAATATTTTCTTGCATAATAGACAACTTTTACAAAACAATTTTTAGCTTTGATATCAATATTGCAAACCATTTTGATACAGCAGGCGATATCCTCTTTTGCAGGGTTTCTTTTGTGAGTTTTTTTTTTTGCAGTTCTATCAACAGTTTCAGAATCATTATTCAGTAGAGACCTTCATCCTTTCAAAAGTCACTTCTGGAGAAATTGATGTCACACTGCGGTTTTTGCAGTTCTGTTTTATTAACCATGAGAAACCATGTGGCGTTAAAACTTTATTTTTATATTTCATCAAATTCTCTTTCAATATTTTGAATGAAATTTGAACCACATAAAAGAAAAATTGCTTTTACGTTATTGTGACTAAATTAAATTGGTTTTAAAAAATCTGTAAAATCAAATGGAGTTTTACGTCCGAATGTCTTGCACTGATAATTTTTGTCATTGGAAGGAGCAGGTTCCCCATCCGTTTGACTAATCGTATCTTAGTCTTAGAAGCCGGATTTTTTTAGCCAATCAGTAATAGGGTCCACAGTTCACCGTCGAAATTTGAGCCTTCAAATCCATGTATGTCCAGAGTTATCCGCGTTTGAAAGTTAAAATAACGACTCGTCTTTTTCTTGAGACTCTGCCATTAAAAGAAAAGACAAAAATAGAAAGTAAAATTTCTAGTTTGAGGTGTACATGAAGGTATTATGATTATGATTTTTGCACAGTTCTCAATACTTCTGAAAACTATTTTCATTTATAAAAGACTCAAATCAACACCAGAAAATGTCCAAACAAGGCCTTTAAAGGGGTTTTA